CGAATCCTCCTCCAGGTCTGGAGCTCCTTCAGAGCAAGAGTTGTCAGCACCCAGCATCGTGCCCAGGGTGCAGTCCGTGCTCAATAGATGTTTGCTGAAAGCTAACTCAGGACATTTAGGTAGTGAGATGGGGTTCTCATCACACAGCTGCTAAATAAACCGCCATAACATTCACTGTATTGTACTCACACTGTTGATGCGTCTCCTCCCACAACCACTGCTAGATGGAAATCTTCTCACGGGAAGTGACTGTATTTTGTTCATCTTCACACTTCCGTAAGTCAGGCAGCAATGAGCATGGATTAAGTAGCTGTTCAGTCCTATGTTTTCCAAGAAGGATGCTTTTGGCATGTGGAGCAGGAGAATTCTAATTTTTTTTTTCTTTTCTTTTTTGGAGACGGAGTCTCTCTCTGTTGCCAGGCTGGAATGCAGTGGCGTGATCTCGGCTCACTACAACCTCCACCTCCCGGGTTCAAGCAATTCTCCTGCCTCAGCCTCCCGAGTAGCTAGGACTACAGGCACCTACCACTATGCTTGGCTAATTTTTGTATTTTTAGTAGAGATGGGGTTTCACTATGTTGGCCAGAATGGTCTCGATCTCCTGGTCTCGTGATCCGCCAGCCTTGACCTCCCAAAGTGCTGGGATTACAGGTGTGAGCCACCATGCCCGGCCCAAGAAAATTCTTAATTGCATAAGACAGCCCCACACATTGCAGGACACGCTGCTGTCCTTGCCCGTGCCCACTAAATTTCATTGGTATCCCAATCATTTTGACAACTACCCCACCTACAAAAGTTTTGGGGGTAAGAGGACCAGGAGGAAAATTGCACAGCATATAGTTGAAAAGCTACAGTTAAGTCTTTTCCTTACAACTTGGTCAGAAGCGATGGACTCTGTAACAGTGCCATGGTGGATTGTATGTGTCAACGTAATTAAGAGAGACAGGATCTCTGAAATATAAGATATTTATTTGGAAATAAAGCATTGCAATGGGAATATGCATGCCATAGTTAACTATGTGCATATTCAGGTAGGTGAAGACACAGGTTTTTAAAGGAAAAAAGGAGGAGGATTACATAATTGTTTTAAAATAATTATCCTTGGCTACAAAGCTCAATGACAAGGGTGACACTAGTCCAAGATTGGACAGGCAAATCCTGGGCAGATGTTCCTGTAGAAGTGTTTTGTGTTTTTTGTGTTTTGTTTTGTAAGGTTGCAATGGTGTTTGTGCAATGTTGTGCTTTTTGCAGAGTCTTTGTGATAGTTCTTGTGATCAGGCATTTATTCATGGCCTTCCCCAGCTCCATTTCTCAGGGCCTTTTTTTTTTTTTTTTTTTTATTAGTGACTTCATTTTGATTCTGACAACTTTCACACATGTGTGTGGTGATGTAAGGTGGAGGACAGGAGGTGTCACCCTCAATACACAGTGGTAACCTGTCTTTGTAATAGTAGTTCACTAATCTTTCCTGAGCACTTATATATTCCAGGCACTAAGCTATGTGTTATACAGTTTATTTAATCCTCACAACCACCTATGAAGTCCAATTTTTTAGAGATGAAACTGAGGCTGAGAGAGTTTCAAGACATTGACCCAAGTTAACACAGCTGCTACAGACAAGGGCAAGATATACCCCCAGGCGTCAGACTTCACTGCTCTGTGCCGACCTCTTTAACAAGAACAAACATCAAAATTCTCAGATGGAAGACTCCTATTAAAAACTGTCCTCTCCCATTAATTTTAACGTAGAGCAATTTTGCAAAATATATTCTGCATAGTGTTAATTTAGTGGGATGTCAAGTGTTGTGAGATTAACGGTTGCATGAGCGATGGAGTATAAGAAATGCTTTCAGCAAGGCCCTTGTAGAAGGCTGTGAAACAGCAACCATGAAGACCACAGGAGCCCTAAGGTGGCAGAACCCTTCACAGTAAGTCAGGGGTGATTTAGAACATTGCTGAGCAAACAGCAGGGAGACCGGCAACAGGAGCTTGCTGGCCGTGAAGTGCCTAATATCCAGTAAGCGCTGCTCAGGCTCTAGGAAAAGGTTGATGCAGGAAGGGTTTCCTTCTTCTAATTTCTCAATAATAATAACAATAGATACTATTTATTGAGTACTGATCACTCTCCACTTTATAGATGAAATACTGAGGCCTAGAAAAATTTGTTAAGTAACTTCTCCTGAAGTCATACGGCTATTTAGTGGCAGAGCCAAGTTTGAACCCAGTTCTCTCTAACTTCAAGACATGTGATTGTAAACCCTATACACAAAGCCTCTAGGGACCTAGGGTTTATCAAAGGCTTTCCTGTGTGAATATCCAAGCAAATTCTGTCTCAAAGAGAATGCCCCTATGGGTTCCTTGTACAAGGGATTTATTTTTGGCATATCTCTTCAACCTGACAATTAGTGCCGTGGTCTGAGTACATGAAATTTTTTTCAGGGTATGTAAATTTTTTGTCTTAGTACGTGTAATTTTTTTCTGGTATAATGTAAGTTTCTTAAATTTTACTTTCTTTTTAATTGTATAGATTTCCATATGATATGGTTTGGCTCTGTCCCCACCCAAATTTCAAATTGTAGTTACCATAATCCCCACATGTTGTGGGAGGAACCTGGTGGGAGGTAATTTAATCACAGGAGGAGGTCTTTCCTGTGCTGTTCTTATGAAGATGAATAAGTCTCACAAGATCTGATGGTTTTATAAATGGGAGTTCCCCTGCACATGTGCTCTCTCTCTTGTCTGCCACCATGTAAGACATGACTTTGCTCCTCCTTTGCTTTCCACCATGATTGTGAGGCCTCCCCAGCCACATGGAGCTGTGAGTCCATTAAACCTGTTTTTCTTTATAAATCAGCCAGTCTGTGGTATGTCTTTATTAGCAGCATGGGAACAGAATAATGCATCATACTTTGTTACATGCTTGCTTTTTTTTTTTGATAAGAGTATTTTTGTTGATGCAATAACACCTTTGTCCATAGAACTCAGTCAGATGCCCTTCCTGGAGCCAGTGCCTGCACTCCATGAGCTGCTGGAGAAGTCATCGTAGGGTGTCCGCATCAGACCTCTCCTGATTTTTCAATTCTCTCTCTCCTTTATAATAGATGTTGGTGCATTTTTTGAAGAAGGGATGTGGCTACGATATAACTTCCAGGCACCAGCAATCAATGCCAGAGACTCCGGCAGCAAAGTAGAGAACTCTCCCGACCAGCAGAACTCCCACCCAGACCTGGCCCAGGAGGAGATCCGTTTCAGCTTCAGCACCACCAAGGCGCCCTGCATTCTCCTCTACATCAGCTCCTTCACCACAGACTTCTTGGCAGTCCTCGTCAAACCCACCGGTAAGGTCGAGGGTACCCAGACTCTGCCATTTAACATTTCGGCAGACAGAATGTTCTAGCAAGAGTCTATAGATTGTTCTTGGTTTGTTCTTTATTCCCCATGGGCCTTATTGAGCAAGTCACATAACTTCTTTGAACCCCATTTCTCTCCATGAATATCAGGAAAACAGCTTGCCAGCTGGGTGAGTTGGAGCAAGGTGTTAGAGTAATAACGTTGATGAGGCATGTTGGATTCTTTACAAGAACGCTCTTTCATGAATCAGAGATAGGTTTGTGTGTGTGATGATTATTTTTTCTTCCTACTAAATAAACACATTCGGCTGGACACTATGGCTCATGCCTGTAATCCCAGCACTTCGGGAGGCCAAGGTGGGTGGATCACTTGAGCTCAGGAATTTGATACCAGCTGGCCAATATGGCAAAACCCCATCTCTACAAAAAATACAAAAAT